AAAACGCTGTTCGATAGGTGAAAAATTGATTTTTTTTTAACTGGGTCGGATTATATCCATTTTTGGACTAAAATTTTGGAGATGAACGGTGAGTTGTTTGTTTTGTTGGGTTTAAATGATCGTGCTGTTTTTAAAAGCAATATTAAAATCCTTGTTTTGTAAGTGAGTTCTGATTACCCTTGTCGGCTGCCATATTTTTACCCGAATTGTCAAATTGTGTTTGCCAAAGTGAAACGTACTCAGAGCTGCTTTTTACTGTTTGTCAACTAGCAGGCAGAGTGTTTCCATATTTGTGAGATAACAATATAGGACGAATTTCAAAGAATACTTCTAAATTCGCGTTTTAATTTTAAAATATCGACAAAATACATAGCAAAACATTTCAAAACAAAACAGAGTTTTAGGCGTGATATAACTTTAACTCGCAGAGGATATCATTTCTTAATAATTAGCACATTTGATGATACAAACATTCACTGAAAACATTCATAATTATGTATCTTTACTTCTCAAGCAGAGTTGCCGTTCGATTACATACTTTTTCAGTCATTTTTCAAACTTTTTTGATCAAATTTTCATCAAGCATATCATCCCTGGGCTTTCTAAAGAAAATATATTTTAGCTCTTACCTTACACTACAAAAAACGTTTGGAACATTTCAGCCAAAGCGGTTAAATTTTTTTAAATTGCATTTTTACTGGCAAAAATTCCATTTTTTCTTATTAAAAATGTGCTCGGAGCTTACCAGAAGGGAATCGGGTGTAAACGCTTACTAGCGCGCGCGAGTAAAAAAGTGGGGACGCGTGGAGCCGCGAGTCGACTCTCTGTCCATCTCTCCTCTGTGTTTTGGCTGATAGCGTGCGAGAATGTCGAATCTCGTACTCGTAGTCACTGCTAAAGCTCCCTATTAGTAAAACTGAGACTGTCGGTAACCTGTAAACATTGTACTAAAGAAAATATTCATAACCTGCCCTCTACTGCATAACAACTTGAGTCCAACACGCCGAACAAAAACTTCATTGAAGGCATTACTCATGGACATTATTGCGGAAATTAAAACCGAGTGAATACGTTCTGGAAATGAATACCGGTAATGACGAAGCAGTCGAAGCTTAAATGAAACCGCGGAATCCCAAACATTGATTTGGGCGTAAAATATCAGGACATTTTCTGCGACTTCTGTTGACGTACATATCCAAGGGGCTGTTCACATGAGCCCCGTTACCCGAGATTCACCGAAGCGTGAGATGATTTTGAGGTATTGAAATAAGTCTTTTTGGAAGCAAACAAGCTCATGTCATTGTTAGGATGACCACACGACAACCAGGATCATGTTATTTACTCATTTCAATACGTCAAAGTTTGTTTTACGCTTCTTTAAATCTCGATGACCGGAGTTAATGTGAACAGCCCCTAAGATCGTGGGCTAGACGGAGAGTTCGTTGGCTCAATCAAGCTGCTTCGGTTGCATGAATATTTCGAAAAGTGGCCAACTCAACAGAAATAAACAAAAACATCGATAATTTTGCATTGCATTATCAACTGCCTTGCACGAGACTTAAGCAAAAGTAGACCAGTAGTGTTCGTCTTAGGGTAACTTAGTTGTGTTCGTCTTAGGGTAACTGAGTTGTATTCGTCTTAGGGTAACTGAGTTGTGTTCGTCTTAGGGTAACTGAGTTGTGTTCGTCTTAGGGTAACTGAGTTGTGTTCGTCTTAGGGTAACTGAGTAGTGTTCGTCTTAGGGTAACTGAGTTGTGTTCGTCTTAGGGTAACTGAGTTGTGTTCGTCTTAGGGTAACTGAGTTGTGTTCGTCTTAGGGTAACTGAGTTGTGTTCGTCTTAGGGTAACTGAGTTGTATTCGTCTTAGGGTAACTGAGTTGTGTTCGTCTTAGGGTAACTGAGTTGTGTTCGTCTTAGGGTAACTGAGTTGTGTTCGTCTTAGGGTAACTGAGTTGTGTTCGTCTTAGGCCTGTTTCAAACGTCGCATTTTGCATGTGTCGAATACAATTGTTTGAATTATCTGCATGCGAGATGCGACGTATGAAACAATTGAATTCGCTGTTTTTAATTGCGGTCGACCGTGATGCTAAATTCGACTGTTCCGGTCGCATTATGCGAGCTCGATGCGACGTGGTTTCATAGGTCGCATTTTGCATGTGTCGAATTTAATTCGCTTGAAGAAAAAGGCAAAGAACGTCATGCATGTTATGATTTTGAAAGGCCCAAGTAAGGAAATATGGAGGCCGTAGACAAAAGATATGAACCAGAAAAATCGTATTGTATTACGTGTGCATAAAGTTGAGAAAATTCATTTGCCTACCGCGTCTCTTTGTAATGGTTGCGCAGTACACGAATAAAACGAAGAATCCCAAGGCTGGCTGGCTTGCTAGAAGCGGCTGGGAAGCAATTGGATATTGCATAAAGTGCAATATATTTACGCAAGAGTATTAGGAAAATAATAGCAAGAAAAGGATTTCTAGAAATATTACATTTTTTATTTACTCCCAAGCGGACTGTCGCTGGTCATAAGGAATAGAGCCCGCCGAACCGCCGAACTATTTGAATTCAGCACATGCGAAATGCGACGTTTGAAATGACGGTCGGATTATTGTTTTAGGGTCGAATCTAATTAGAATTGTATTCGACACATGCAAAATGCGACGTTTGAAACAGGCCTTAGGGTAACTGTTTAAGTGTCGGTGTCATTTTATTTGATGCAATTAGCCCAATTAGGCAGATTAGGTTGAATTTAGACCTAAAAGCCTCGCTGAAGTAGGTGACTCTTGTTACAAACACAAGTGAATAAAAAAAAGCTGAGTGACAATGATGAAAAATAATCGCTGATCCGTTATTCTTGATATATACATCATTTCAATTTTTTCCGCTTCCTCATGCAACAGCAACGATAACTCGTTTTGATTGTATTGTAGTAGTTCATCAGCATCTGCGATCTTAACATACCATTCTATAATACATACACACAGCTTCCTGCTGTTAGAGATCGTTATTTACGCTCGTTTAAATTTTTTGTTACCTGAAATACGATCCATGTCTTCCCCAGACGTGATACAGGATTGTTGTGAGTTTGGCGTGTTCCGTTGGAAAACTTGTTGGATCCTCAGCAGGTAATTGATGAGTTGTTCACGAGGGCTTCAATGGCTCAATCATTGTCAAAACCATTAGGAATTGAGATTTGCATATACTGCGGAACGACGCGACGCATGCAAACTCGTGTATAAATTGAGAGCAACAGAAATTCAGGCTTTGGGCTAATTTTATTCGCCAAATCCTTCGCTTGGCAACAATAGAATACTGACAACATGTACAATGAAATGGTCTATAAAACTGTATTGCAAGTTTACGTCTACACCATAAGGTGTTTTTTATATCCACCAACATGGTATGTTAATGGAATCACGTACCTCGGGAAAAACCACTTCATGCAGGAATACTGCTTAATCATTTATCACCAAGAGGCGGCCCTAGTTAGACAGTAATATGATCATATTTGTAACCTGGGGTTATTGTTAGTCTGTACTACCTTAAAATAATGACTGGGAAGGAAGTCTTTGAAACATTTTTACTTCTGTATTACGACACAATTAAGAGGCTTTGTTCCACCTTCAAGTTTACATTTGGTTATATTTCACTTTAGCATTAAGATGGATAAATTCTTTTGAGGATAAACAATGTTGGTTTTTTAAGAGGATAAGATGTATATCTTTTTTTTAACCTGCCACATTCTCCATTCCGAATCGTGTCCCATATTATCTCTTTATAAAGCAAAGTTAGGATTCATATTGTGTGAATACCAGTAGGAACGCAGCGAGAGACCAGATTGTGGAGGCAGATAGTTTAAATACCACGTACTACAGCACGCTTATCGCTAACAGATTACCAGCAAATTTTCGTCAAATAAAAAATTGTTGGCTTCATTTTTGAGCAAACAGTAGAAAGCCGTACTTGTTAGATGATATCATAATCTGCTATTCAGATCACCACAGGCACAGATGTGAGCGGCACGTATATACCATTTTTGAAAATATCGGGAAAGTAGGCTAAACTGGCGGGGTAAGTCTCGATCTCGACCTCTAAATCTGTTTTTGTACTCGTTTGGAAGTTACAAAATAAAAATACAGTTGCAAACCTGCAAAAGTATAGTTTGTATCTAAATTGTTATAAACATCGATACGAGCTTGGTTAATTCAATGACGATATTTTACGTTCTGGACTCGTTTAAGCCCCGGCTACATCCACGGGCGATTTTTGACGTCGATTTTCTTCTCTTGCTGTATGCTATTAAGTAAATTTAACAAAGTAGGTTACTTTACTTTGTCCAGCTGAAAACGATGAAAAAAAGCCTGTGTAGTCGTGGCTTTAGTTGCACCTTTAATTTGGAGCAACATGAGTAGTTACTATAAATATGCTTTTCAGTAAACCAGGGAGCAGAGCGCGGCAACGTCTTTTATTTTGTCTATTTTAGGTAGATCCTTTACCACATTTGATGCAAAGTTTCTAAGAATATACGTAGCCTTTAGTTTTGCGCGTGTGCGTAGCTATATAATTTCAACGTCGATCTCGCAACAGGAATCCTGTGTCAAGTTAATTGCAACAGCTAAGCTAGCAGGCATTATAATTGATCCGTATTAATAGGATTCACACCACTACGAGTTTATGGATATTATTCCCATTTAATAGCAAATTCATTTTTCCCTGACCTAATTCACCTCGTTACTTGATAATCGTCACCCTTCGCACGAGCAATCACAGGCCACGAGTGTTCTTGGCCGGGCTTCTAATCTTTTTGAGTGACTTCTTAACAAATATGAGCCCCCACTCCCCTTAATTATTGCGGATACATTATACTCCAACAAACGTACAGTTAATGTAGTAATGTATATTATACTGTTCACAAGCTATATAATAGATCTTTGCCGGTTGCATTTTTCACAAATGATCATACGTTGAAACTTTCTACCACAATTTTGTTATTCTTTTAGAGGCGAAAATGAATTTTTCGGTCCATATCATGTTTCCCTTGCTGCTGGTGTTATTGTTTATTACTTGCGAAGCATCTTGGAGCGGGATGAACTGCAGCGAAGTTATGAAGAAACGGCGAAACAATGAATGTTTAAGCAACATGGAAGTTCATACGCGCGAGAAACGAGCATCGAGACGGCGTAGGCGCAGACGATACAGGAGAAAATGCCGTATAAGGATAACCCGATACAGATGCCGAAGAAGACGAAGAAGGGTAGGAATTTTTAAATGATCTTAAGACTTAAGACTTCCGCTCGCCCTCAAAGTTCGGATCATTATCCTTGGTTGTTGCATGGTTACACTCATATAAACACACTGCAAACGATACAGAACATCTGTTCGCAGAAGTTACAGTATGCTACAAAATTTGCCAACATGCACGGATAGGATAAGGAAGTCATCATGGTCCCTTTTTTTTATTTAGAGTTTTAGATACTCCTGACAAAAGACCTACAACAGCTGTAGACTATAGCACGTTTAGCTGAACAAAACAAGAACCTTCGTCGGATTTGGAGGAAAGTTTCTTCGAAACGTTCCAAAAACTTTCTACGACGGTATATGAGACCCGAATTGATCTCGCCCGCGCCTATAAACGACAAAAATAGTTTGAAATTACACTGCTACAAACGCATGAATTGTTCGCTGTAATAAAAACATGGCTGAACAATGTTGTGCCCAGAACAGTGTGTATGTGAAAAACTTGTGACAATCGGAAATGCTTAAATATTGTTTCTACTTTATAAAAACCATTGCTGATCGTGAGGTTCAGCACAACATTGTTCGGTTTTGTCTATCATATGCTTGATTTACACTAGGGAAGGATCACAAGCCGAAACATAAAGGGGCAATAAAGCTTATATGATCACCTGACTTTGCATAAAATGCGCCGCATTTTGCTCGGAGCAAACGGCGGAAACTCTCGACCGTTTGTCCGATTTCATTTGTTGAAGTATATACAACGTCAACGTTTCAAGGATGCAAAGACAACTTTGTTGAATGATGAATATAATTTTTAGAACATGTTATAATGTAAATTATAATCTATTTATTGATATCGTATGATGTCATTGATATATCAGTGTCTAATAATAGAGTTAGTATTTTTCATTTTGTAATAAAGTAAAGATGAGAGAGACTCTCTCAAAGAGACTGTTCGCGGATACAAGGCCATGCATGCAGTTAACAGGTGTTCATTTTGCTCAGAGCTGCATATATGGTCATCATATGACTTCGTGCAATATTCTATGGCCTCTCATCTGTCTTCCTCTTATACACAGGATCGTGTTAATTCTAAAGAGTAAAGGGCAATAACTCTCTACAGGTTGATGATTTCACCGCGCTAAGATGCATGCTTATCAGGTTATGTACCCAGTCGCAATTATAGTGTGAATTTCAGATTGAGGCACCAGTGGACAATCGCTTTCAGTTTCAGGTTGAAGTTACTGAATATATTAGCTCAACATTGTTATTAACGGGCCTTTGATTTCTTTGTTTTAAGAAAGAAAAACAAAGGTTATGTTAATAAATAGGGCTGAATTATTCAGTCATTTAAAATAAACGTGGTTTGTGCTGTGTTCGTGAAATTTAAGGTGAATAAACCCTGTTATTTCTGTGTTTGTTCGGAAATTTGGCAATGATTGGACTCAGTCGATCAGTACAGGAATTGGCGCCGCTATTTGGGGAATATTTCGATTCGTAAGTAGCGTTTTAAACTATAAAATAGCGATTATCTTATCAATATTTCGTGTGTAACTTTATCAACTTGTGATGCGTTTAAGCGCCTTTTCTACTACATTTCACGTTTTAATTTCGTTGCTATTCTGATGTGACGTATTCTGCATGTTTGTATTCCTTTAAATATCTGCAAAATATTAAAGAAATCTTTGCAACAGCTTGTGGATTAGAAAGGATTCGCCTATAGGTACAGGCTCGCGGCCATGTTGTGACGACAGGGTGCTGGGGCCTGGGGCTGCTCGGGCACTGCTTAGATTTATATTCAACGATAACTCCATGAGGTTCCATGAGGTGCGCATTGCCGTGTCTTTACTAAAGGCCTGGGCCTTACCTAGCTTTGGTCTAAATTTTCGAAATGTAAACTTGAGGCCAAAATCTGGCCTCCGAAATCTGGATCCGGGACAATAGTCAATATAGACGTGACCGAATTAGTACCGACAGGGCTTACCCCAAGTGACTTAAGGCTGTTTTCCACCTACGCGTTTCTCATACGCACGTACACGCACGTAAAAGTCTAAATCCTTTTACCTGCTACCTTTGAAAAAACTGAATAAGTGAATAAATCGAAGGAACTCAGTTTTCTGCATACCGCCTTCAGAGCAGCAAGCGCAGTCACCATTTTCATACATCGCATACACGCGTAAAAACGCTCAGGTTGATGCAAGTTGATATAAACAGGATGGAGCAATGTTGTGCTGCCCACATTGTTCAGAGTTGTTATCAACATTGAACAATATTGTTGAAACTGAATCGGGTGTAACAATATTGTTCAATATTGATAACAACTCTGAACAATGTGGGCAGCACAACATTGCTGCATCCTGTTTATATCAACTTGCATCAACCTGAGCGTTTTTACGCGTGTACACGGCCAAAAATTGATCAGGTTGCCGCATCAGGAGTGAACAATGTTGTGCTGCACCCTGGGGACAGTATTGTTAACAATGTTGTATTGTTGTTGAAGCTTGTTGAATCATCAATGTTGATGCAATGTTGTTGTAACAAGTTGGAACAACATTGATGATTCAACAAGCTTCAACAACATTGTTAACAATACTGTTCACAGGGTGCAGCACAATATTGTTCACTCCTCTTTTTAACAACTTGCATCAACATGATGATTTTTACGCGTGTACTTACGAACTGCGAGAAAGGCCAATAAATACTTCATGTCGTATACATTTCACCCAGATATGAAATAATTCATTATTTATCATTGGTATTTTATCTTATAAATATATCGATGCAACTGAAAAGGAGTCGGCTGGAAGATGAACAAAATCCTTGACTATATACACGCCTAAAAACGCTCAGGTTGATGCAAGTTGATATCAACTTGTTCACGGTTGTTCAAAACAGGTTGCAGCAATGTTGTGCTGCACCCTGTCAACAAGGCTTGTTAACAATAATGTTCACGCTTGTTCGAACAATGTTGTTTGCGGTTGATGAACGAACAAGGCCGGAACAAGTTGTTGCAACAGCCCAAATCAACCTGATATCATCCGTGATTTTGGATGTCAACACATGCGAACAATGATGACTCAACAAGCATGTTCAATGCTGTTTTAACAACTCAAAACAATGTTGTTGCGACAACATTGTTCTTTGGTTATTTTCCAGGGGGGGATTTTTTGAATTAAATATTCCGCCATTTTCTGGAGCTCCATGTGACCATGTCACGATGAAAAGAAACGAAGAAAGCACATAACTGTTCATCTCTGTAATGTTCCTTTTAAGTGAATACAAAGGTAAATGCGATGATTATTATGTTTTACTATTTACAGCAAAAGTTTCCTCAAATAGAATAGAGTATCAAAAAGTTTATTTATATGAAACAAAGCTAAATAAATTACTCTGACAAAATGTAAACTTTCGTCTCGAGGTTTTGACAAGTTTCGGACTCTAAACTGCGAACAATATAAATCAATATGCCCATACAAGAATATATGGCATTTTTTTAAAAATTGGAAAAGTATAAAAATTAGGTTGCGAGACTAAATCGCATATTTTTAGAGAACATTTAGATCAATATTTAAAAAACATTGATCTTAATTAATATGATTGATTACACTGTCAATCTCAAGCAGTTTTTCTAGCTTTGCATATTTTTGAGATACTACTGTTAGATAATGAACAATTGTATTAGTCAAAATTAAAATATTTGAGTGTTTCTCCGAGATAAAACTTGTTCACCAAGTAGTATTGGTGATTTTCATTATGTGTAAAGTTATACAATACTTTTTTAACCGCTTCCCTTTCAACAGTAACTGGTGTGTTTTTCTGTTTCCCTGAAGGAGCAGTTTCCATTAAAGCAATCGTGGATGAGGCAGGCCTGGTCAATTATGTGGTCAGAGGATAAGATTGTAGTACTGCCTGTTCTTTCAACCTTTGGGCATTGAAAACTTCCAAAGACTTGGTTGTTTGCATCATTCTTGCAGAAGTTGATTGTCTCTACTGCAACCAGTTCTCTGTTTTCTACCTTGAGACCTTTTTTGAAGATACCAAGGTGATGCTGAAATATTAATGTGTGAGAATTAGTTTTTGATGGATAGTATGTTTCTTCATACAGTAAATAGTTGGGGTTAATTGATAAAAAAACTATTACTGGATTGTTTACTATTTACCACTGACATGTTTTTAAGTTTTCTCCTGTGTTATTTTTTTAGAAATATGAATGACTAGAAGACATTCAGGACATACTATATATATACTCTCAAGACTCAAATGTCCAGAAAAGGGGCAAACTACAGTATAAAAGTGAAACTACTGCATAAACTATTAATGTAATGACATATTTGCATAATACTGTATACCTGATGCTGATCATCCACGTATACAATTGGTGAGTCTGAATTCACTAATGTCTGCTTTTCTGTTATGATAGCTCTGAATGGTGTAGCTTTCATATGGCCGAGAAGACCAGCAGCTTCAACAGTGGCTTCTTCCAAGCACTCACTTAAAGGCTGGGTCATCAGCTTTCCTTTGCGATAATTTCCCTTAAACAAAGGAAAAAATTCAATGTATGGAATATATGATAGAAATTTGTTTTACGGACACCTGAAAATGGTCCTACTGCATATATGTTTGTGATGAAAATTTGTTTACTTTTCTTAGACATCCAGGCTGGTAAATATCCTTATCTCCCATACTTTCTTTCTTTGGTGTGTTGTTCAGGAACTGTTGCAAGGTTGGATCTTTTGCCAAAGTTATAATGGATTCTGATGCTTGTAATCTAAGGATTTAATAGAAAATCTAGCTCTTTTACATAATACAAAGTTAGTATTAAAACTGAACTGAAATTATGATAACTAACTATATCAGTCAGTGTTACTCACTCATTATGCTTTCCCCATTTTCCTCCACTTAGAACAAAACGAAGCTTTTCCAACTTTGCAAATTTTGTGCAAATATCCAAGCTTGATGCATGTCTGTTGCTGTTGACATTCAGGCCTCGTATGAAGTGGTTGAAGGCTTCAAATCTAAAATAGCAAATCAAATGTGGTGTTAAAGGTTAGCTAGACTAAGTATGTCTTTGAGATGCCTAATGAGAGTTTCCAAGTAGATATTACAAATGGCCGTCACTTAATTGTAACTAAAACTGTCCTTACTTATCTACTTGTTTTACCTTTCAGTTGAGAATCCATTTGCAGGCCCCAGATTTTCAATATCATCAACAAGATGAAGAAGAAGATGGAGTTTTGCTTTTTTCAAAAACTCTGGGTAAATTCTTGTCACTGCATCTACAAATGTCTTGAACAACTGCTTTGCCCCTTCTGAATTTCTTTTGTCGAACCCACTTGAATATGCCAATGCAAATATCTGTCAGAATATACATTGAAAACAGAACATAATCTATGATATTTCATATTAGACAATATAATTAATATATGAATGCAATATTTAATTGTTTACAATATATGATTACCTCACTCAACAATTCCCAGACAAAGAGTTGTTCATGAGGGATGATATCTTCCAGGATAAATACAGCAACCTGCATCCACAACTTGAAGTCTCTTCCAACATACGAACCATAGTTCCTCGTGATGTTCCCTCGTATTGTGGCTGGAAATGCGCTCATGTCAAGTGCTTGTATCTTTGCATGCAGCTGCTCCTTCCTTCCCTGGGATAAGGATTTCATCGTATCGGACAGCATATACTTAACAGGTCCAAGAAGTATGGTATGTAATATTTCAATAGGGGTTTTGCTAAATGAAAACAGAACGCATATTATACTGTATTTGTTTGCAACAGTACATACAAAAGTTCTCCGTGACACTCTACACTGTGTGCATGTAGAGACAGTCTGCTGTCATTGATAAAACATGACGTAGAACCGTAAAAGCGGCATTAATTTTATCATATCGTATTTGCGTACTTACTTATTTCCACGAAAGCTCTTCAGGATATCGAACGCTCCTCCCTTTTCCGTTACTCCATACTCACTTCTTTTGTCTTTTTTCTGATTTTCGGATCTATCGATGGTACATAATTATTTTGTACATTAACACAAGTTGAATTTTATAATAAGTCTTCATAATGCAGGCACATATGTACTGTTAACTGAACATACGGACAATTCTGTATTTCCTGAATCTTTTCTTGAACGTATTGATCTGTTCGTATTTCTTGTATGCCCGTTGCATTATTCGCTGTCGCCTATGGTGTAAGTTGCACGTAAAGAAATTGCACGTATTTACTGCAAAGCACCGTGCGAAGACAAACAGTGAACAATTTACTCACTCCGGTGATCGTGCCTCGATTTAAGATTGACCCTTTTGCTATCTATGACGTCACATGTTCACATTTAACTACAGTTAACACTTACATTACACTTTCTACAAAACTTGTTTGCGCAGCTACCCAAGTGATGTTCGAACTCTGATGCGCGTGGATTATCCGCCAGTACGCACAATACTGGGCACTTCACCAGAATTTCTCTATCGACGAAAGCGTCGTACATCATTTTACCACATTCTAGTTCTACAAAAAAAAGTAAAATACCACTTATTTTCGAACTTCTCATTACAAAACATTTTGGGTACCTTCATTAAACTTTTAAATCTACCTTCTAGGTCACGGGCAATAGATTTCCCAAGTGCAACTGATGGAACAATATTGGAAGTGCTTAGAAAATGAATATTCTCCATTTTACGGAATTCCTTGCGTGTAAGGCCTGCCATGCTCATAGAGAAACTCTCCAACCGATTCCACTTCTTCGTAGTGTTCCCACTTGTTTCATCGCTGAAGACGAGCAATGGGACAACAGAGGACGGATTTTCTCCACCTGTTCGTGATTTATCCATGTGAACCTGAAGGGCGTCTTTGGCTTCCTGTAAAAAGTGTTTTTTCAAACAATGAGAACTGCATGTGAGTAAAGTTTAATTACATTACAAATGCAGTATTACAGTACCGAACAAACATCAAATTTCGGAAAACATATTTGAGGTTCAGAACAGTGATTGCTTCCACACACCTGCACAGATACTGCCATGGCTTGTCCGTTAACATACTTATGTTTGATTTGAAAATAATGAAGATCGACTTTAGTCTGGATATTAGAAGTAGGGATGGTCACATTAGTGTTTGGACACAAGCAGTAACTTCCATGCCCTTCATCATGCATGTATTCTACCGTCGTCATCATCGTCGTTTCGTTGGAGACAACCTGTAGAGAGAGTATGAACAAGAATGAAATGAGCACGAGATTCAGTTTAAATAGTATGCTGTGCTTGAGATAAGATGAAATGTTGAATTATTGATAGATATAGCTTTTGAGACCGACTAAACTGGTAAATAATAGATTTCTTTTTTTCTTGTGGTCCGAACTCATATTTTAGTGTTGGCTCTGTGCTTTACAGTAAATCTCGACCGGTCCGTACGACCTCATACGGACCGCTCGCGTAGCCAATCAGATTGCATGAAACGCTAAAATATGAATCCGGACCGCAGAAAAAAAAAATTATATTCGATAATGAAATTTATCTGTATAAATCACGCAGTTACCTTAGTGAAGAACTTGATGAGCTTTCCTGTGTATACATCTCCGTTAGACAAAAATCTCACAATATCTTTTAGGAAATATAGCACTCCGTTCAAAGAAATTGATGAACTTTGAAAGTCATTATTTTCCAACCACTTGCGTCCCTGTTTAAAGGAAAAGTACTGTATAATAACTAAGAATATAATTATGTAGCCGATGTATATATATATATATATATATAAATATATATATATATATATATATATATATATATATATATTTAATATATATATTATATATACATACATATGACTTTATGATGATAATCTAACCTGAGGCATTTCATAAATGTATGTGTCAGTCTCTTCTGGGTATCTCGTAAGAGCGCTTGCTTTAGCTGGTATCGCAAGTTGAAGTCGAACGATATCTGAAGGCCGCAACCAATAATATGGATTACCGTTATAATAATCCTTGAAATAAAGATGAAATTACATAAAAATTGTATCCACAAGTGCTCACATGAATGCGATTGTTTTTCAAAATGGTTAATTTTACTTGCGCGCACACCTTTTGCGGTAGTAGCAACTCTTCGGCTTCTTCGATTTTAAAATTAAGAACGGAGTTCAGGGAAGGAACATCTGCATGAAGTTTCTTGAATATCATCCAGAGAAAATCCAAATCTGCCCGAGACTGAAAGTATACAGTCGATTTTATAAGAATTGCTATTGCGTTAGATTTAGACGCAGGGATATATAGATTTCTGTGTATGCACTATCAATGGCTATAAAGTGGATAACACTATAGCCATAATCCCTGACCCTAAAATGGAATCGCGAAAGCTGGAAGTACTATAAAACCTGGACATTGCAAAGATTCCGGCTTTTTGTTTTTACTTCTTTTAGAGATTCGAGGTTTCCTCATCCCCTCAAAAGTAATAGCAATATACGCACAATTATACGGGACTTTTTACTATACCAATCAACTTTCTCACAAAAGCTGCCCTGAAGGCTGAAGTGAAATTTGCTTTTATTCAGAGAGACGTTAAAGTGGTACAAAGTTGCATATTTTTCAAAAATGAACTGCTTTGAGAAACGGCGCTTATGCAATAATGAATTTTTCCTGCATGAAAGAACACTTGGATTTGAATTTTGACATCTCTCTTCTCAATAACCCATATTACACGCGTAAAATGCAACAAGTTGTCGCAAGTTGTCATCAACTTGTTAAGCGAACAATGTTGCATCAACCTGATATTTATCAAGCGGCAAAAACAAATATTCCAGTTTAAATCTACTATTCTAAAAATATTACGGAAAAATACCTTTGGCCTTGAAACGTTGTGCACATAGCTATACAACAAAAAAAATATATCCGACGGAAATGGAAAAGATGATCCGCGGCCGTGCTCGGATTGTCGAGGCTCGTTTTCTTCGTCGTCGTTGCTGCTTTCCTCGGAGTCGCTTGAAAGATCCTGAAAAATGTCGCTCAACTCACTCTCGGAGCTGCTCAGGTCCATAGCATCGTAGTCCGGAACGTAGGAAACGTCCTGGCTGTTCGTAAGATCACTATAAAAACTCTCAAATGGTTCAGAAACCAGCTGGATATCTTGCGTTTCTGAAGTTGCGAGCTCTTTCATGCGATGTCCTCGCGACGTTAAATGCACGGAAAACCTGTCCCACGACTCAAAGTTAACGAAACAGGTGTCGCAACGATGTCGGCAGGCTCTTTTTTTCATTTTGTAACGCTAACAAACGCGTAAAATCAACTAAATTTTTAATTGCTTTGAGCCCGTCCAAGTCCGCCCTGATTAATTCAAATTCCCCGCGACACTGATTGTTTGCTGCAATCTTTTCCCGCCGCGTTAAATTAGTGATTACAGCTTATTTCAAAGATTTTGATTGGTTCATTTATCAAGCTGCTGCTTCCTGATTGGTTAAAAATATGCAAAACAATAACAAAGCCCGTGCCAGTGCGCTTGACAGTAACAAAAGACTTCAATATTCAATTAAAGTTATTTGCTTTAGTTTTTTTTCAAAACGCAAAGGTTTTCAAGCTATTTTCAAGAAGATATGGCACAATACAACGACCTACGAACATTTGGAGCTTCAAACAGGTGACAAAAAGTGTAATTCATTTTACAACTGGAGTTCGTTTTCATTGTATATACATGTCCTTTTAAACTCTGTAGCCGAAATCCTTGCTCGCAGACGACGTCATGTTTAACCAGAGGACGAGAGGACCCTATGCCCGAGGAAACGTCCCGCAAAGCTTGTTCGAAGGTACGCAATATTAAAAATAATCATACTAAATAAACAGTATAGAGTTATTTGTATGAAAGGTATAAGCATTCACTTTGACATCTCGTATTTTTAAGACGATGAAACGCAAGACCCCAATGAGGGTACCAATGACATCTTGTTAAGAGAGCTCCGGGAACTGAAAGACCTTGTGAAGGATGTGCAAAAGCGTCAGGGCTCTATAGAGAAGACCATGAAACACTTGGCTTCCAAACTTGGTGCTGAGCAATTTGACCTGGCCAAGTCAAGTCATGCAGTAAGCATTGGTTTTCCGAAAAACAAATGAAAATCAACAATGCATGATGTTGTATATTTCTCATATGTCTTCATTAATTAATGTTTAACAATGAATTCAAAATTTATATAACAGGCAAATGTCACGAAAATATTAGCAAAAGCCTATATACAACTTGGGCGGTTTTCAAAGATAAATGAAAGCAAGACTGTAAGCCTATATCTGTATAACTGTATTATATTTACTTTTAGTAAATTCTATGTTCATTTACTATGAAAAATATATTAACTTATGTTTTAAACAGTATATGTAATGGTTTGGTTTTTACATAGGAGCAATTGCACATGGAGTTCCAGGACTCACCATATGGTCTTACAGTTGCTGAAGCGATGACCAAAGTGGATGTCTTCGAAAAGGCAAAATTTACCTACTGGAGAGCAGAAGAGAGAAGAAGGGTATACATTTATAAATCCAAATTTTAAGTCATGATTGTAAATGATAGTGATGAAAATTTGAATTAAATGTACTCACTTTGGCTCCTTAGGTTCTTGGAATAGGTAACTGGTCTGCCCTTGCGAAGGCCACAACCAAGGAGTTGGCTTCGAAAATATGTGGCCTTCTAGGAGTGAGGTTCAACTCTTTACTGGAGAAGTCTGTGCTTCGAGAAACTGCTCTGGTGGTATGATATTAATGCTTATCATCATTTGATGTATTTTGCACTCCTGCATTTTGAAAAGCCTTGTTAGTTATGACATCAATTCTTCATCAAAAGACATATATAATAAATGTACTCACATAAGCACAATATGCAACAAAAATAAAAACTATAGGCATCTCTATCCTCATAACCATATGATACATGTATAAGCTAAAGAGAACAAAGTGATTTGAGATTAGACAATGATGAGTCAATCTTGAGCAATTTTCATTTTTTGACTATATATGTATATATATATATATATATATATATATATATATATATATATATATATATATATATATATATATATATATATATATATATATATATATACCCATTTGCAAAAACGTTGGCCGCAGATAGATAGATAGATAGATAGATACTCGAAATCTAATTAGAATTGCATATGTTGTGTAATATGATTGAAATCCCATGCAAATGTAATCATATGCAATTCTAATTAGACTTCGAGTCCGCAGATAGATAGATAGATAGATAGATACTCGAAATCTAATTAGAATTGCATATGTTGTGTAATATAATTGAAATCCCATGCAAATGTAATCATATGCAATTCTAATTAGACTTCGAGTATCTATCTATCTATCTATCTATCTGCGGCCAACGTTTTTGCAAATGGGTGTATATATATATATAGTTGGATCAAATTATTACCATATTATCCTTCCTTTTCCCAGAGAATCTATGTTGCTGAGTATGGGAGAGATGACTGTAAGAAAGATGAGAAATTTTGGATTAACTTCCAAACATGGAAAGATACAACATATGGAAGCCGAGGCCCAACTGCATCTCAATGGGGTGAAATTTTAAATGAGGAATGAACTAAAATTATTAAATGTGTTGAATATTTTTTAATTAAATCACTTTTGTGATAATGTAAAATGAAACTATTTATTAAATACTTACTATAAATTTTCTTTTGTATAGTTGACTGAACAGAATTATCTTATAACCAATCCAAGTCCACCGCATTTTTACCAATCTATAAATATTAAATAATTATATGAAAATATATATTATGTGTCTACAGTACTTTCACTTTGAACTTTCGTACCAACGTCAACCGTTTCACACCAGAAATCTGAAACACGTAGTCTATTATAAGTTCTTGCCACAAAAACTAAGTTTTACCATATGGTTCTGCAACTTTAATACTGATTAAATGCGAACGGATAACAGTTTCGATGAATCTTGCCTAAAAACAATACAAACGACTCGAACAATTGCGATTGCACGTGTGACACAACTTTAAAGTCGGCCTCACGGCCTGATAAAAAATAGGACGAACAAAATGATTTCTGTTTATGCAAATGCGATCGTAAATAGCTTCCATGTAGTTTTCGACTTTAATCAATATATATTTTCTTGACAAACGACGAAATTGTTCGGATATTTACCAAAACGCACTGTCGTTTTGAATATCTGTCACACGTTTTGGTCTTTTGGAAGTCTGGTGTGCGTGCGCATCCGATTTATCCCAATCGTACCATCGTTAATCAAAATAAGCTCCCAATTATTCCCTTCAATCCCTTTGCAACCCTTCCGACTCTGAATTAATATTCAACGATATTGTTTCCGGTTGTTCGAACAATAAAAAACAGGTTGTTTGTTCATCAATATTGTTGACGCATGTTCGAACAATATTGTTGAGGCCTGATGAACGAACAAGTCGTGAACAAGTTGTTCTGACAGCATTTAACAAGCATGTTCCATCAACCATGTTGACGCCTGTTCCAACATGTTGCAACAAGTATTGTTCGTTCATCAATCGTTAACAATATTGTTCGAACATGTTGTTAACGATTGTTACTTCAACAACATTGTTCAATCATGATAACAATATTGTTGAGACATTGTTAATCGAACAATCATGATCAACCTGATCAATTTTTACGCGTGTATATTAGAATACTGAGCTTAAAGAAAAATTTACACTTCCCAACTCGCGAACTCTGTTGTAATGTGAAGCAGCTACCATATTTTTTGTTGATAGAGTTTAGCCTATTTCATGACAGGCATGATATGATATTTCCTTGTTTTTAACTTGATGAATTAATTCTACAATGTTTGAGGGTGGCATTTGTTAGTTATCGTATCAGGTGAATGTCTAGTGTGTTGTATTAATGATTCGTGATAACTATCGGCATATTGTTTAATCAAATGGGATGTAGGTTAATGAGTATATATTTCCTCAGTTCTTTGAGTATAGTGTGATTCGGATGTTGATAAACACCGCCATGTTTTTTCTTTCTGATTTTAATGACACCTGATAAACACACGCTGGAAATAGTCCAGTTCGGTATATATAGACAACATTTATTTCCCTTGATATAGAAATAATAAGCAGCATACAATATCTTATCATACATTCCAATAACGTAGATTTCGAATTTTGATTTCGTTAGAATAGAATGTCTCTGTTGCTTTTTGGAGAGTATTTTTCTTATTGTCATTTCCTACAGTTCCAAAGATTCTATATCCTAAAACACGCATGAATCAAAACCAATTTCTATTATCGCCTAGTATTTGGACTTTTTAAATTCATGCATACGGTGGATAGGGTCATTACGGTTTTTTTAAAAAGATAAATTAGCTTTTTCAGTTCTAGGGTCAACAGTTGTAGCCATACAGCAGGCTTTCTCGAAGTCACTCGAAATTTGGCATATGATTTTATCTATATACTACAACACATAGATAGTTGCCATACTGAATTGTCTCATATGTCTGGGTATGTCTAATGGGTAGACTTCAACTTATCTACATTAATGATTCAGTAATGAATAATCTCTCAATTGTAAGGATTCTTGACTTCTTTGTCTAGAGAAAGAGAGATGACCACATTTGCATCACTTTCACTGTAAGAGATCCCTGCAAACCTTGAACGTCGTCAAATTCAGTGACCTAGATTTTATGTTGGTGCTTAGACAAGAGCCAAAAGTGTAGTTTTACACAATCTAGATTCAACCCGATTGTTTCCTAAAACAGACACACTTCTCTGTTAATTCAGCGTGATGCATTTAGGCATATTACAACGATGGCAACAATCTTTTTTACCCCATGTCTGAGTGTAGTCTATTATTGCTGATATGATCGCTTTGGGAAGAAATTAAAGTTGTTTAGGGCGCCGATAGTTACGGTTGAGAACCCAGACATTTTGTCCATACACACAAAAAAATGATTTATTTTCGTTTTTTAATGAGATTCATCGTTATGTGCAGTATATCATGGCCCTATCATGCAAGTAATTTTTTGATAAATCCTATCAGATCAGTAATCGCAGTATAATTTATAGTATATCATGTTGTTGATTATTATTATAATATATTTTACTGATAAATGTGTAATCTCATGATCAACACAATCTTGAATGCCAGGAAAGAGTCTCCAGGAATGAATGAAGCCTAAAAATACCTAATTTAAATTAAAATTCGTTGATGAAACGGCATAGAACGAGGTCGTGTGGGCAATTAAAGACATGCTGACAATGCATAGAATGGAAAGAATACGGATTTTCATCCTTAGGGTCAAGTCCTCGGGTCCAAGAAATACCGATTTATAGCGCGATAAAGTTTGTTGGCGATAAAACTTTTTTTCACGTTGCATGAAAGTCACTTTCCTGAAAATCTATTTCTAAATTAAGCTTTTTGCATGCATACGTGTCACAACGGATAAGGTGAGGGGAACAGTTTTAAAAATGGCTAAAAAAACAAAATGTATCATGTGGGCGGTATTCATATGGGGGCTGGGACTGATTGGTGTAGGAAAACGTAATGTGTGACGAGATATTAATAAATTCAATTCAATTCATATCCTTGTATATATATAAATATGATTATATGAAATTGCAAACTCATTCGAGATTGCGACAGGTCTCTGATCATAACATCTGTAAACACTTGTTTTAGGCAGCTGTGAAAAGTATTTTTTTTCAGTAAACAGATGCATGTATATCACTGCAATCACTGCATTGGTTGCTGAGCTGTGATAGAAATCTTGCACATGCAGACAAGTCAATAAACCATTCAGTAATCTAGAAAGTGTTTTTTGATGACGATTATAGATATCTCGTATATAAATACTGTCCCAGTCACAAGAACACCAGTCAGAGGAATTTGTATACAGGCGTTACCATCCTTTGTCTTTCTGACAGTAGAACTGCCATAAATAATTTCGTGGCACCTTCTACCGCCTTCTCCAGTGATTCAAGTAGACACAGTCAAGTAATTTCTGGCTTATATCGCCTGTGGGTGGAAATAACTATAGCCTTTCGTTTGCACTATCACAAGTTGAAACGTAATCGTCAAAGACAAATAAACAAGTCCTTATATAGTAGGATCAGATCAATCTTCCCGGCATCTTTGACGTGCACACAAAGACAACTGAACAAAAATCAACATTGCTGAAAAAAGACGGGTTTTGAAATGGTTTGGAATCATAAAATAGTCCTCATGTGGTTTTTCATAGTGACGGTTATCGTTACAACGCTGTTTAGCGTTAGCGATGGGGGAGAATTGGCAGCCGAAGACGACATTGGGGAGTCTGCCAACGTTGTTCGTGTCAAAAGACAAAAACTTTGTGGATTACTTCGTTGGAAATGCAAGAAATCGTATGTTTTTTTATTTCATTTGTCTGTTTTCTTAAAGAATAAGCGTAATCGATTTGAATTATATGAAATATATTATAGCAATTAAATCGCCACACTATAGACTTGAGTTCTTCGAAACTTATAATGCTATGTTTTCATTCGCCATTTTGGCAGTG